GAATAATTTTCTTTAGTCAGAACACAACGTTTCATGTTACTGTTGTATGTTGTACTGTATTGTAAAGCGCTCAGAGCCTGTGTACTTTATTCGGGATTGAGCGCTATATAATGTCATTTATTATTATTATTATTAAATAAGAATGAGAGACAAGAACGATAGATGTTTGATAGGAAAGACGGAGCAAACCACACCAAAGCACTCGTCAGCTACTAACATTACTGAATTGTAAAAGTAAATTTACCCCCCCCCCTTTATGTTTAAGCTAAGTCTAATGCATCTTTAGCGCATGAAGTCACAATGATCAAACTGTGGCCCCAAAGACACTAGAAACCCAGGATGTGCGTAGCACAGGGTGATTAAAAAAGAATGAGCCAAAATCATCATGCAATATTTCAAAACGGAAAGACAATAGAAAAGTCCAGCTTGAGCACACGTGTTGTACAAATAGGGATGCCTAATTCTATCAACTTTTCTGGTAGTGTCCGATTTTGGGCCTGTTCTATCGCCATGTTGATAAAGGTGTCAAAACTACCGGTTTTGCGATGAGGTCTGTTCTGTAGTGCTTTCAATCTTCCTTTTTTTTTACGGAAACCCGTACATTCCGAAAGATCCGTACTTGCCGCATCCTTACATCAACTGCATACATTTATGAAGAAAAAGAGAGAGCGATAAAGAGATAGTATAGGCTTATCAGTATTCCGTAGCAAAGAATCCGTTAACTGGTTTCCCTAACTTCTTGGATATTTAGGGTAATTCTCCGTAATAAATTAAAAAACCTTCCAGATTGCGCAGTTTGTCATTTTGTACACTCGACCATTGTCCCTTTGTCAATTTATGGTGGGTAAGTCGTATTTTCGCTTGCAAATCGGCTAAAATCTGGCTAGTTACGACAGCTCGTCTTCCTCCTTCCTTTCGTTCACTCATTCTTTCTGTTTGTTTTCGGGATTTTGCTGTGGCTGGAAAATCGGTGTGTTGATCAAGGAATCTGAAAGGCGAAAATCAGTATCAGAAACTTTTTCAAATTTGTCTAGATCTAGAGAATTTGTCAGTATGAGGATTCTACCACAGCAAGATAAGTCTGCGGTGCAGGAAATTCAAACACAGAATTCTGTGTGCTCAAATAAATGATAAGTAGGAACAAAGGTCGTATAAAACAAAATAGTTCACTCCTCTCTTTGAGCCAATTAAAAAGGTGTCCTCAAATTCCGGTGACACTCTCTTCAAAAAAGTGCGAACTTTGCGAACAGTTACCCTAATTTGTGAAAAACAATAAAAGATAAACTTACAAACTGTACTATTCCTAATAATTTTCTGGAAAAAAGTAAGAGAGCTTCAAAACAAAGACTGCGGCGCCATCTAAACCAATGAGCGGACTTCCGCGGATACTTTTTTGACCGAGTGAACTATCTTGTTATGAACAATGTTTGGTAGGAGTGGTGCTCTGTGGTTGTAACAGTGGGTAATCGAATGCATAAATGGAGGGAAATTAGAGTACAGATTAGGTGAATCCTCAAGATGGATGTTCCCGGCTTTGCGTAGTCCGTTGCCAATGGTTCGCTGGCAAATTGAATAGAGGAAATGGAAAATGCTATTTTCATGCCTCGAAAAGCTCAAAATTCCCATTTATTTCTTCCCAGGCTTGTTGCTCTGCCTTGAGCCCAACTATAACGTTTTCCCTTTGATGATTTGTGTCTTGCACGCCTTTTAAAAAATTAGTGAATGCTGAATCCCAGACATGGTTTTGACAGCTGTTTTGTTTCTTTAATCCATTGTCCATTTATATGAGTTTGACGCCATCTGATTAATAGAAAAAAGTACGTATGACATTGTCCAATAGTGCATTACGTGCATAGTTAGTATGACAAGTAACCCTTACATTTGGAGATTCAAGGATTATAAATGTAAGTCATTGATCTGAGAGCAATGATGATTTTAGAAATAATTGTGATGATAAGGGATAATGTGGGACAACGTAAGTAATGTTAGCGTTAGTCCTATCTTCCTCTGCTCCAATGAGTCACGACGGACGTGGTTGCACCCTCCATCCTGTTCCCTACTGGGACCATCTCTAGTGTCACCTTGGTGTTCCGAAATGGTGGTAACAGTCTCTGCTAAGTTAGGCTATTCTATTGGGCCAAGACAAGAATCGAGAGGAGCTAAGTAGGAAGACAGTGCAGTGACAGGTATGTTGGGGTATTCGTAACGAGTTGTAGATAGCAAGGTGACAAACAGGTCATGAACTTTAAAAATGGAGCATTTTAATTCTACTCCCTGATCATTTACCCCGAATATTCTTTTCGTGTCCTATTAAACTTGCGGAGATTCAGACACAGGATCCTCGAACCGGAGTCGAGAGGGCACAATTTACACACTATATTGTATACCCTCTCTTTAGGGGGAGATGGTTTTGACAGTTGATGTTCTAGCCTTTCCTCAGACCCAGATCAGAATTCATTTGTTTATGATCAGAGGAAAACTTATTAAATTTGACTGCCATACCTAAGTCACACAGGACGTATTAGTGCCCTTAGAAAAGTATGCTATTGTCAGAAAATATGTTTTCATTAATATCGGGCTATGGGTATTGAAGTCAGTTTGGCTGTCACCCTGCACTCAAATCCACATTCAATACTGATTGATTGATGCCTTGAATGAAAACCCATAAGTGCTTTAAAAAACACATCTCATCTCATCAACTCTGTTCATCTTCATGTATGCAGGACAGCCCACCAATTTTGCGGATTTGCCACGATTTTTTTTCTCAGTTTTACGAAAATAATATCGTAGCACCCTTGATTCCGATTCTTCAAAATGTAGGTGCCTTTCTACTACCCTAACCCAATCCACCCTCTTGGAATATAAGGAAGAAAAAACAATCCGCCCCTGACACTTGACGTCAGTACAACACATACTCTGTGCACAGAGCACATGTACACGCTCAGTGTCACTTTACCTTACCCCTTGGAAAAGAACAATTGTGCCAATGCCAGGATTTGGTCTTAAGCATAGCGAACTGATGTCGCTATTGTTTAAGGCAAACATTGGCTCGACAAGTCGTATAAAATGTCCTGCTTCTGCGCAGTGGGAGACGAACCAGGCCAGTGAGAGAAGGTAAAAGACAAACAGATCAGGATCAAGAGCTTATGGCATGTTTTGTTGTTCATTTCTACTACTCCCTAACCCCCCCCCAACTCCCTTTTGCCCACCTAACGGCTTGTACACACCAAAAATCTGCGTTCGTGTAGTGTGATACGCACGAAAGAATTTATTTCTTATCTAGAACCTTTCTGTGTTCCTAGCAACTTACTGTTGTTCGTGCGTGTGGGGACTTTTATGGCAGCCATAAAATTTCCTTCGTCTGCTGTAGTGTTGTGGCCGACCGCTCCCTCACAGGAGGAAGATGAGGACCTACTCTTCTTTAAGAGCATGGTCCCCAAGATAAAGACATTAGATGTCTTACAGAAGATGGAGCTGCCAGCAGAAATACTCAATATTCTATTCAAAAGTTTGAAAAGGGTACGTGCTTCTACTGCGGAGCCCACAACTGTTGCAACGGGAGAGCAAGAAATGCGTCAAGACCAATATCAATGTAATCAGTTTAATTATCCATCTTTTAAATGTCTTTTGCTTGTCAGTAATTGGGGCTGCACACTCAAAAGGTTATCAACTGTGTCTGGTCTCATTCGATTGTATCCAATATAATTGTCTTTGTGCGACGAAATTTGGAGTAGCATTTGATGATGTAAGAATTGCCTATCGACCAAAATTGGGTGGGTCCAGTGCCTCCTATCCTTCCTCTTATTTCTTTCTTTTAACAACATTAAAATCTTCAGTTTAATCTTAGCATCATTGCTGTTATAAAGCACACATGATAACGCAAGAATAGACGGATGATTGGTGTGAATGGGCACACTTTCGTGCATTAGACAATATCACACGAACGCGAATGTTTGGTTTGTAAGAGCCGTAACTCGGCAAAGATGAGCCTGACTAGACTTCTATCATCACGCCTTCGTTTCCATCACATCCATCCTTTAATCTACAAAACTCTTGTCCTTCTTGACACTCAAGAGGAGAAGGCTGTCAAAGACCACTTTACGAATTCTTCATCCAGATAACTACATTTTGTAATTGGCTGATTACTAAAAACTTGAAGGTATGTACAACATATGTGTCCAAGCTAGAGTTTTCTATAGTTTTTCATTTTTGAAATATAGTGTAATGGTTTTGGCGTATTCTCTTTGAATCACCCTGCTGAATAGAAAGCTGAAGTTCACTCTTATGTGCAAATGAATAGAAAGAAGGGGGGGGGAGTTTGTCAATAAGCATCAATGGCCTGTGAAACGGATTTTATATAATTGTGTTGTAGATGTTTTATATCCCCATTGAAACAATTGAGATGATTTAGGAGGCAGGCTGCTTCGACGCTGAAAATCCATAATGAGAGGAATACAACATCCTATAGACAGATTGCTGCCTTGGAATTACAAAGTTCTATCTGACATCTTTTTGGCCTTTTTGAGTTTCTACAACCATGAGGTCATGCTCTATAAAAATCATAAGGTTATTTGGAGTCATTATGAAGATATTTAAAGAATTGCATTTGAAAAAGCTTGACATGTTGTGAAACTGAACATTTTTTTACGTCACATTTCTCAAAACTAGGCACTGAACAGATAGAACTTTGAAATTCTGGGGTAGCGAGTTGGTGATACTGGATGTAGCTGACACATAATCTCAGGTTGGTGGCAGACCACAGGCAATTTTGCAAAAGATTTCAAACAGTCACATAAACAAACCAAGAATGAAAATTTGCACTTTTTTTTTTTACTCTTGTATCTTCAAATTCGAGTGTTCGGTAAGAGAAATGAACAATACGCATGCATGATAACGCTATACTTTCTTTTTCGAATGCTCCAAAACAGCATGTTTTCCAGAATGCGTGTCTTAAATTTAAATTACTTAAAAGAAAATCTTCCCCTCACGGGAATCGGGAG